TGGCTGCCTCTGCTATGCTGGTGGCTGATATCGCCAAGCCTAGGGCAGTCCTCCCACCTATACGAAGATAACGAGTTCACTGCTGCCTTTCAGGCTTTGGTCGATACCTATGGTATCCCTCGTTATCAGGAGTTCAATGCTGGTGTTGTGAGTATCATCACATTCCCCTTCATGTTTGGTATTATGTACGGTGATGTTGGTCATGGTACTTTGATCACATGCTTTGCTCTCTGGGCCTTGTCCAATGCTAAGAAGTGGAAGTACAGTGATGATGGGATGCAGCAAGGTTTGGTCTATGCTCGCTACTTGCTCTTGTTCATGGGCCTCTTTGCCATCTATGCTGGTTGCATGTATAACGATCTCCTCGGTGTTGGTATTCACTGGTTCGGTACTGCTCGTTATGAGGATCCCGCTGAATACGGTCATGCTAGTAACTACGAAATGAAGCCCAAGGCTTGGTTCGACACCCTCAACACTGGCGAGGGTAGCGGTCCTTATCCCTTTGGTATTGATCCCTCGTGGCACGGCGCGACCAATGAGCTTCTGTTCATGAACTCTTTAAAGATGAAGTTGTCCGTGTTGTTCGGTGTCTTCCAGATGATCTTTGGTGTTTGCATCAAGTTCGGTAACGATGCTTACATGAGGGAGTGGATTGACTTCATCTTCGTTGCCATCCCCCAGATGGTCTTCCTGTTGGGCTTCTTTGGTTACATGGACTGGATGATCATGTATAAGTGGGTTACCCCTGTTACCCAGGACCCTACCCTCAACGGTGCCCCCTCTCTGATTAACACCTTGATCTCGTTCGGTCTCGGCCAAGCTGATAAGCAACCTCTGTTCCTCGCCCAGCCTGCCGTTCAAAAGTGGCTCATGCTTGCTGTGGTGATATCGGTCCCTGTTATGCTCTTACCTAAGCCGATTATTATTCAAATCCAGAGGTCTATCAGAAATAAGAAGAACAACCGTAACGCTGTTGCCAATGACGATGTAGAAGCGCAAGCCCTCATCACGAAGGAGAATGAGACTGATGAGGAGCTTGAGGAAGAGGGTATGGATGAGGTCTGGATCTACCAGATGATCGAGACCATCGAATACGTGCTTGGTTGCGTATCCCATACTGCGTCATATTTGCGTCTTTGGGCTTTGTCCTTGGCGCATCAGCAGCTTTCTGTGGTGTTCTTC